TTCCTCAGATGTCTGTGCTCAGCTTGGGGGAAGGGTGTGTAGAAAGTCTCGCCCAAGAAAGCAGAGTTAGTGTGGCTGGCGTGTGATACATGCTGGGCAAGGACAAGATGGGTAGAATTTGGTGTTGGCAGAGATTCTCATAAAATGCTGTTTGGTAATCAGAGGTGTTCCATCCAGGTCAGCCCTATATAAGGCCAGAGCTTCTGTGGTTTTCCTGTACTTACCATGTGTCTCTTTGGGGGAACTTGTTTTCATTAATTGTTATGCTTACTTTCAAATCTCTGCCCTCATGGCTCTCTTGGCCACTTACAAATAGTTTGGCCTGCCCTCCACAGTGTGAGCAGGCATTCACACACCGTTCTACCCATAGGGCCCAGCGCTGGGCCCTTTGTGGGGTGGTGCTGAGCCGTAGGACATTTTGGCTCCTCCCTTCCCTAGTCTCTTTGGGAACAAGGCCCACATGTGAGCTATTTCACCCTCCATCTGATGAGCCCACTCTTACCCACTGGACTCCATCCAGCTGCAGCTGCAGCTTGGCCTTCTAGGAGCAGAGAAGAGCACGCTGTGTTCCTCTCTCTATCGGGAATATTCTGTCTGTGTTGTCTGTTTTACCAGCTCCCACCTCTCTGTCTCTGTGGGCTCATCTAGCCAGCGTGACTGTCCAGGAGGAGCTGCCGATCATAACTCGGGCATCTCAAACTCTGAACATTTGTTTTGTTGTTTTTCTTTTAAGAAAGAGTCTTCCCAAGTTTCTTGCACTGGCCTCAAACCCTCAGCCCTCATGTCTTAGTCCTCTGAGCGCCAGGATTGCAGACATGGATACCACACGGAGTCAAGGTGCTTTTCTGCTGAGCAGAGATTTTTGCTCACTCCAGAGAGGAGTATGGGGACGACCGGACAGTGTAGTGATGCTGTATACTCCCCGAGATGCAAAAGCTTTTAATACATCTTGTTGTTGTTGTTGTTGTTGTTTGAGACAGGGTCTCTCTGTGTAGTTTTGGTGCCTGTCCTGGATCTCGCTCTGTAGACCAGGCTGGCCTCGAATTCACAGAGATCTGCCTGCCTCTGCCTCCCTAGTGCTGGGATTAAAGGCAATGCTTCACCGCTGCCGCTGGGCTACAAAAGCTTTTAAAAGTCAGTTGTAAAATAACATGTATCTTTATTAAGCCTACCTCCCAATGGATGGAGAAACGTTAAGTAATTTTTAATTTTATAAGGTCTATTTCCTTCCCAACTAGGCCAGGGGAGAAAAATGTCCGGACACTAAATAGAAGCTTAGGTATAACAATGCTATTTTCCTGTCTCTCGGTGGTTAAATGCAGTTGTTACCCACTGGTTAATACAATGGTTGTGGCCACATTAGACAATGCTGGTAGAGTGTTGCAGAGGGAAACTAAACATAATGAGGTCGCGTTTATTTTTACTCTCTAAGTTAAAAATTCCCTGGGACGTTCAAATGAATGATATGAATAGTTGCAAAACTTTCTAATGAAATGGAAATAGATTTTATTCCTAAGTATTAGCAATTTTCTTGTGATGTTTCAAAATCAGTGCTGAGCTTTTTAAAGCTTCTAGGTTCCAGGTCGATGGGGGAATATCAGAATGCTAATCTCGTGAGGTGTCTCAGTAGTTCATGGCCAGGAAGGAGGTCCAATCAGGACAAAACATGGGGGGCGGGACATTGTTCCAGCAGGGGCAGGTCCTCTGGAGTAAGGACTACTCTACCTGTTGAGGACATGTGGAAAGTCGAATTTGCATCAGATCTAAGGCTCATATCTCATATAAGGCTTTTTTTTCTACCATGTGGCACTCCGGAAGATTACAACCTTCTGAAGTTTCTGTTGGTACGGACTGAAAATGGGTTTTTCCATGACACGTCGTTCCTAGCCATCTCTGTTACTTCTGTTGCTGTGGCAAATGCAGCTCAAAGGAGGAACGGCTGCTTTTGGCTTGCAGTTTATGGGGACACAGGCTATTGTGGTGGCAGACAGTTCCCTGCCACTTGGAGTGTGACACTGCTTGCTCACCTCTCAGCGGATCCTGAAGCAGTGAAAGGGCCTGACCTCAGCAGCTTTCTCATTTCACCACTCCCACGGTGTCAGGGACCCCAGCCCCAGGCACTGGATGGGACCGCCCACAGGTAGCACAGGTCCAACGCCTCAGTGGTCTCTGTCCGGGAAGAGATCTGACACACTCAAAGTGTGTCACAAATGCCATAAAGTTTCCTAATCCACACTTCAATGTGACCACTACCTTTAATGGTGGTCCTTGGAACAGTATCATACAGTTTGCCTAGCAGCAGTTGGTAATGAGGTCTTCCCCGGCTCTTCTGCAGGCTTTCCAAAACTGTTGTTCAGAATGCTGTGTTTGCCCCCTGTCTTTTCCACTCTTCCCACCAAAGTGACACAGCACTCCCTCCCCCACCTCCATTTCTGCCCTCCCTCCCTCCCTCCCTTCCTCTCTTTCTTTCTTTTCTTTCTTCCTTTCTCTCTTTCTTTGGTTAATCAAGTGGCTGGGGGTTGGGGGGGGGACACTTCAGCTTTTAAAGCTGTGAAGTGGTGAAGTGGTTTCCATTTGATGCAACCCTGTCTCCCTCCCACAGTTCTCGGGTCTCTAGATGGTAAAACACAGATTGAAATCCTTTAGAGAACTTTATATCTGGGGGGTGGTTTGGGCGTCCCCTGGAGAGCTCAACACAAATATTCTGGCTTAAAAGAGGCACTGGCCTACAAGTTAAAATATATATAAATTGTGTGTGTGTGTGTGTGTGTGTGTGTGTGTGTGTGTGTGTGTGTGTGTGTGTGTGTTCCACTCCCAAGCCTTCCACATGGTGGAATTCAGCAGGGGCCCTGCAGATACAGATGCTTGCTTGCAGGTGAGGGAGCTTCCTGGACTGCCTTCCTTTGGGTAATCTTTTCTGTTTGAATCTGATTTTTTCCCCTTTGAGATTAAATCAAAGAACTATGTAGCCCTCCCCACCCCCTGCTCAGCATTCAGTTACCACTGTCCTTTGTCAGATGAGTACTCAAACTTTTAGCAAGAAAAAAAAAAAAAACGAGTTGTTTATTTAACTTTCAATAGGATGTGCTTTTAGCATGAAGTGCCTTATGGGTTTGTGAGTCTAAAACTTGGAATTATCCTCGAATTAAGTAAACTAGACACTTGACGGGTGGTTTCACGAAACAGATCACTTTCCTCCTCTTTTCTATATGGAGGCATATCCCGATTCCCGAGAAACGAAGTGAGGAAACTCTAAGCAGTATTTGAAGATCCAGCACTGCCCTGGACCACTCCAGAAACAGTGCCCAGAGAACCCTACACTGTGAGAAGACTTAGGAGAGAGGCCGAGCCACTTCCCACCCCACCCCCCAGCCCCCCACAGAAGGTAGAGGAAGGTGTGGGAAAGTGGTAACAATAACAACAAAGGCCCTTGTTTAGACTCTCAGAAACACACTGTCTCTCTAGACAGTTATTTTGACTTATCTGACAAGTATTTTCTCCGCAGTCCGTGAGTGGATACTGTTTCGCTTACTGCAACTCCCCAACAAAGTTATGATGGCAGCTGTTACCTGTTTTCCCAGAAAACCCTGCAGTGTCGGCAACAGCCGAACAGAGATGCAGTTATGAGACCCAATGTTAAGCACTCTCAGATAAGCAGCGAGATATTTATACTCAGAAGAGGCACCCTTTGTTTTTAGGAAAATAACGAGAGCAGAGGTTGATAATTCCAGAACACAGAAGTGAATTTGTGTCTAGTTTTTTCAGTTACAAACTTCTACTAACTGTGAAGGCGTCTGGAGCTGTTTGGTGATGGTGTGCTCGGAAAACAAAGCAAAACCACCGGGTTGAGAGAAGTTGCCAGAGCACCTGTCCCTTCATCGTTCTCTTCCGAGTATGGTGTTAGTGGACAGGACTTTGATAGTCAAAGTGGACGGTGATTGAAGTTACAGGCGTGTATATGAAACACTTCTGTTCCTTGCCCCTTGAACTCAAGGGGAAGCAGTGTCCGGCACATTCCAGCCTCTCCTCCCACTCAAACTTGAACTGTAATTGAAAGCCTGCTCCTCATTACGTGGCCTGACAGCCCATCTCTTTGCAGCTTTCGTTACAAAGCCATTTAGAGAACTCAAACAGCAATGTGTGTAGATAGAACATAGCTGCTTTGAAAGGCAGAAACATGGTGGGAGAAGGCATGTGCTTCTTCTGGCCGCTCATTGTTAAGGTGGGAAGGGAATCCAGTGCGCCAATGTGGGGCAAGGTGGCTGCCCCCACCTGGTTGTATCCAAGTTGTTGTAAGGCCCAGACAGGGAAAGGGGTGTGCTAACCCTCTGTCCAGCTGGAGTTTTCCCCAGCAGGAAACTTGGCTGAAGTGGCTGGTGGGGGTTGCTAAAAACACGTGCTTGCAGGAACTTACACAGTGATGAGAAGGCAGACTGGGAAGACCTGAGTTCTAGGATGCTGCTTCAGCACATTTCGGGCTAGAGAAGGGAGCAAGGGGGTGTCAGAAGGCTCCCCTGCTGGTGTTTGCAGAACTTGGACGCCTGACAAGCCCAGCGTCAAGTTAATTGTTCTTGGAGCAGGAAGTCTGGAGTGGAGGAAGCAGGTGTTGGGGGAAGATTACCAAGTTTTGAAATTACCAGGCTTGCTCTCTTGCACTTTCTAGTTTGGCCCCCTAGGAGTCCGTGGGTATTTTGGAAGGTGCTGTCCCCGTTTACCTGTCGAGTAATACTAAATCATATGTGTACGGGGAGGGCATGTTTAAGTGCATTTGGAAGCAGGTAGCCTACATGTAGCCAATGTTTCCAGGATCCATTTCTCTTTGTTTATTTTTCTGTTTCTTTTTGGCTTTCGGCATCCCATACATTCAGAAAACCTGTGACAAAGAGTGAATTCTTATTTTTCAAATTGTTTTCAGACATTTCATGTTCATGTAATCTTGGCCTATTGATTTCCTGATTTTTTCTTTATTTTTTTGTTTTGTCCATTTTATTTTTAATCAGCTACATCAAATGGGTCTTTGGAGGGCCTGGATAACCAGGAGGGAGGGGTGTGCCAGACAAGAGCCATGAAGATCCTCATGAAAGTTGGACAAGGTAAAGATCGTCTGCTGCTTTGTGAAGCCACTGTGACCTGGTGTAGCCCCCAGCTAGCGTGGCACCGAGGGCGAGGCTCACTGTCACCCCTCTTCTTAGTTCTGAAGGCAGACCCTCCTCTGCACTTTGAACCACTGGCAGAGTCCCCCAAGGTGATATCCTCTGCTTTCCTTATTGGAGATCTCGCTAAAAGTTCAGGTCAGCGAGACAGAGCATCTGTGTGTGGCCACAGATCCGTATATTTCTCTTTACAATGCAGAACGCCTCTTTGATTGAACAAAATCAAAGTGTCCCAGCATGTAAACACTGGCTCTGCAGCTTTGTTTCATTTTCAAATCTGGACAACCCAAGAGCCGCGTTTTCATGTAGACTAACCTATTGTGCAGAAAGAAAGAATTATTCTTCTAATTAGAGACCGGTATAGTAGTCAATCAACTTGCTCAGTTAAATTGAAATGTCATCTGCAATGCTTTGGCTGCCAAACGCAAGAATCCCTATAGTTTCCACAGATGGCCTCCTAATCTAAGCCTCCAAAATAACGAGGATAACCGTTTTGATTAAAAAGGAAGGTTATATTCTTGTATTTCACAGTGCTTTGCATAAAGAGTCTTATGTTCATTGCTATTCGTGCCTCTTGAGATATCTGTGCAAACTCCTGACGCTTGCTGCTGTCAGATGTCTGTGCCACGATTAATCGCTTGCCCTTCATATAGATGCAAGTTCTGCTGGATCAACCAGGAACAATGATCCAACGAGACGTCCGGAGCTAGAAGCTGGTACAAACGGGAGAAGTTCAACTACAAGTCCTTTTGTGAAACCAAACCCAGGTACAGCCCTGTGGTGTGTGTGTGTCAATCTATGGGGTGCATTTTCTTAGAACTCCAAGAGACAGAGAAGCCTCTCACAAGGCTTCCAGACCAGCAGGATTCACTCCTGGGCGCAGATGCCTGGGATCTTTGCTCTCAGTGAGTCGGTATTAACTCTGCCACTAAGACAGACTAATTCATTCCAGTCAAAGTCTTACAGTCACAATAGCAGAGCTCGCCAGATGGGTCAGTCGCCAGTGATGTCCCACCAGACGAGTGTCCATTGGCTGATGCTGTATCCTGCTCACTGTCGACACCATCCCAAAGCTGATGTTAATGTATATATAATTTGTGCCCTAATCCCTGTCTAATTACATCTAATCCACAAAGAGCCTCGCCGATCCTTTTCTGAATCTTAGAAAACGTTGCCTAATGGCATACTTTCCAGGTGGCTTGTTCTTAATGTTTTTCGCATTCTCTGTGTAAAATAAAACAGTAAAGGGCCCACTGACCAAAGTACAGGGTGCCATAGAAAATGGGCTCATTTCCTCAACAGTCCTGGTCCGCTGTGCTGATGCCGTTTCACAGAATAGCTGGTGCATACACACCAGCGCTTACTTTTGTATTAGGGATCTCTGTGCTGGTTTGGAGGTGGTGAGAATCCGCTTCTACCATAATATTATGTTCTCTTTCCAAGAGTCAAGGAAGTTTTATTTTTTTTTCCCTCTAACTTTCAATGACAAGATGTGTCAAATTCTTGTGACAAATTGATAAATGGATAGGATAATCGTGCCAGGCAATTCTTCAGTGCTAACATTTGGGTTAGCAGTCTGTTCAGTGCCAGAGCGTCTGCTACCTTCCAAATATATTTTAAGTGTAAATCAAATAATACAACCGAGTTTCAGTTGAACCCTTTCCCAGGCCCCATCATTCCTTCCCTTCTGGCACGTCTCTTCTAGTAGGCAGGGCTGTCTTCAGAAGGCAGGGCTCTCCTTGGAAGGCAGGCAGTGGAAGACACACGGCTCCTACAGTGAGGGAAGAACAGGCCAGGGCAAGGACACACCGGGCTCTGGAGTAGCAGCAGGTGCCTTTCTTCCCGCTGGGCCTGGTGCACCCTGAAGTGCTAGGGAAGCCCGTGGCTGTCTGTCTGTCTGTCTGTCTGTCTGTCAAGGAAGAGCCTGGGCATGGTGTGTGAGTGCTGGACCTCTGAGCTTCATCTCCTCTGGTGACCTCTGGCAAGTCCGCCCCCGGGAGTTGAGCGTCGACCGTGCTTTAACTGTTGCATTTCGAGGGCCCTGCAAGCAACAGGGCAATCCCAGGACCGCAGTAACGGGCTCTTCTTGCTCCTGTCTGTGCAGGTTCCTCCAGCACCGACGGCAACAGCGCGGGGCATTCCGGGAACAACCTCCTGGGTTCCGAAGTGGCCTTATTCGCAGGGATCGCATCAGGATGCATTATCTTCATCGTCATCATCATCACCTTGGTGGTACTGCTGCTCAAGTACCGCAGGAGGCACCGCAAACACTCTCCACAGCACACGACCACGCTGTCACTCAGCACACTGGCCACACCCAAGCGAGGTGGCAACAATAACGGCTCGGAACCCAGTGACGTTATCATACCGCTAAGGACTGCAGACAGCGTCTTCTGCCCGCACTATGAGAAGGTCAGCGGGGACTATGGGCACCCAGTGTACATCGTGCAGGAGATGCCCCCACAGAGTCCTGCCAACATTTACTACAAGGTCTGAGGCCTGGGACCTGCGCCTGCCTCCCAAGGGAACTCGCGCCTTGTTGTTGGGCGCGCAGGGACTTCCTGAGCCTTGGCTGTGGGGGCGGGATGCCTCCTGGAAGAGCCTGGAGCTGGACAGTTTTGTAGTCTGTAGCTTTTCCGGCCTTGGGGAACCACAGACCCTCCCCCGGAAGCTGGAAGACTGCTAGGAGATCCCCACTTGGACTGCCGCGTTCCCGCGCGGACCTCCAAGCCATGCACCCAGCTGCCACTGAGGCCTCTGCAGAGCCCAGGGAGGACACGGTGGGCTGTGGATGACGCAGCAGCATCTTAGGAGAAGGTTGTGCACCAGGCCGGCCTCTGCCTCCCAGTTTCCTGCCGTGCACACTGGACTTACCACTCGGACCTCGGGCTCAGTAAGGTTTTTCAAAGATCTCTAGCGTTTAGTCCTCACTCTTCTTCATTCCTGTTGCCAGGGCTCTCCTGGCACCTCCCCAGCCCCTCACTCCACATCCTGCATCTCTACGGGACACTCGCCACAGAGTCCCAGCCCCACCCTTGACACCAAGATCCAATGAGATGGGTATTAGGTACAGAATCCTGCTTTCCTGGAGGCCGGGTCAGCCGGGAGGCCTGGGGGGGTGTGGAGGAGTGAGTGTGGAAGGTAGGGCTGCCACCACAGGTCAAGGCTGCTGCCCCTGGGGCATGGTGGGGGGAGCGAGAGGGAAACGAGGCCGGTGGGAGACAGACAGACAGACAGACAGACAGACCGTGGTGAGTGGTGGGGAGCTCACTATCACACAGCTATGCAGCAGGGAATCACAAAGTCCCTCTCCTGCAGTGGAACAAAAGGTCCCTTGTGGAGGGACCAGCGAGAGCAGGGAGGGAGAGGACAGGCCCCTGGCGACGCGCTGGGGCAGGACTGTTGAGGTACTGGCAATAAAAAGCGCAGCCCTGGAGCTGTGGGAGAGAGTCCGTCTGCTTTGGGAGATGTTTTAAGCAGACTCAGCTGCTATGTTATCACATTTTTTTATTAAACACAGGGAAAGCATTTTAGGAGAATAGCAGAGAGCCAAATCTGACCTAGAAGTTGAAAAGCCAAAGGTCAAACAGGCTGTAAGTCCATCACCACCGAGGTTATTGGGGAATTCTCATTAGGAAAGTTAGGTCGGATCCCCCGGTCCCCGTAAGTGCCCCTCCCCCTCCCCGATTGAGCCTTACACTTTGGTTTTTGGTTTATGGCCGCGCTGTCCGGGCTGTGAGGCTGTACCCGGGCTCCATGTCAAAGCGAAGCTCGCGTGGCCCACCTCTAAGAGTCCTTACGATGGAAGTAAGTTATGATGTCGAGGGGAAGGCGGGAGATGGGACATATTTATAATAGGTGTACAGAACACAAGGGATATAAAATGAGAGATTTCTACTAATATATATTTTAAGATTACACACAATACACACCCGGAGATGTGGAATTCATTTGTTACGGCGATTAAAGCGACCCCCGGCCCTTTAGTGCTTTACAGAGTAAGCGATTGGCTAGCTAACTTCCGAGAGAAGCTGCATCGCCCCAAAATGTTATCAACAATGAGAGAAGTATCCGTAATGAGAGCAAATGACAAAAATAGCCAAGTCCCCGTGGACATCTCACAGATCTGTAGACCAGGCATGCCAGCCCCCAAACACCAGGACACCGATGTGACTGCGCCCTGTGTCAGACAGTGACAAGACGTGCTGGCACTTACTCTCTGTTGGGTTTTCCCTTGCCCTGTGGGCTGAAGTGTTCTCTGGAACCCAGCAGGTCACACTGAGGGGGTGACAGTTGAAAGTTTAGCTGTGGGTGCCGCCTCCTCTCCTGCCCTTATCCCTGCCCTTCCAGAAGAATAAACAGGAAGCAGGAAGCCTACTTTTTTTTTTTTTTTATGTGCTATGCAAAATAGACATCTTTAAGAGTCCTGTTACTATGGTAACATTTTGCTTTCTGAATTGGGAGGAAAAAAAAATCGTAATGACAGCATTTGAAGGTTCTCAGACCTCCAGTGAGTACCTGCAAAAATGAGTTGTCACAGAAATTATTCCCTACTTCCCAAACCTGAAAAAAATGATGTTGGTTCAATGTATGTGTATGTGTGAGTGGGTGTGTGGTACACGTGTGTACATATATGTATAATATATATCTCCAGTATATATTATATATATCTATATCATATTTCTGTGGAGGGTTGCCATAGTGATCAGCCACAGTACATATGTAATTCTTTCCATCACCCCATCCTCTCCTGTGCATTCACACGAGATTTCCTCGTAAGCCATCAGAAGTTGTAGGAAGGGGGAGAGGGACGAGGAGGGAGACATGGGAAACCGTCTGATTTTAATGAAATCGAATGTCTGTGTCATCGGTTGGCCACATTTTGGTTCTAAACTGTGAAAAATCAGATGAACTGGTGAAGAGTTACCTGCAACCGACTGAGAAGTGTCCTGTGCGTCTGTTTTGTGTCTGGTGCAGAAAATGACAATCTACCAACTGTCCCCTTACCTGGAGTTGGTTCAGCTTTGGAAAGTTACTGTAAATGCCTTGCTCGTATTATCGTCCCTAGTCACGTGACTTCGGCGCTTGCACCATCCTGTCTAAGTGGAGGTACTGTAAATAGATAGGTTCAGATCTTACCGTCTATGGATTCGGGGTGTTACAGTAGCCTTATTCACCTTTTTAATAAAAATACACATTGAAAACAAGACAGAAAATGGCGTTTCTTACCCAGATTGTGTACATAGAGCAACGTTGGTTTTTTATAAAGTCTAAGCAAGATGTTTTGTATAAAATCTGAATTTTGCAATGTATTTAGCTACAGCTTGTTTAACGGCAGTGTCTCCCCCTTTGCACTGTAATGAGGAAAAAAATGGTATAAAAGGTTGCCAAATTGCTGCATATTTGTGCCGTAATTATGTACCATGAATATTTATTTAATTTCGTTGTCCAATTTGTAAGTAACACAGTATTATGCTTGAGTTATAAATATTTTTTTCTTTGTTTTATTTTAATAGCCTGTCATAGGTTTTAAATCTGCTTTAGTTCCACATTGACAGTTAGCCCCAGAAAATGAGATCCGAGCAGTCACATTCCACGTCTGTTTCAAACTGAATTTGTTCTTAAAAAAATAAAATATTTTTTTCCTATGGAAAAAGCGCCTTCAACGTATTTTCCTTTCCTTTTTATTTTTTTTCCTTTACATTTTCTTTATTTTTTTCTGTTTTGTATTTTGATTTCCTCCCTTTAATTCTATCCAAAGTCACAATTACCCAGAGACTTCTGCTCCTGGATCCTTTTAGGCCCGTGTCTCAAGACAAGTCATGCATGTATTACAATAAAGTTTGATTAAAGCCCTGACCTCCCACGCAGGAAAAGCCTCTGTTTGCACCTGTGTCACACGGAGGGAATGGTCAGCCGCGCAGTGAACCCTCAAAGAAAGGAGGGAATCGTGTATTCTACTTAATTGCAGATGGATTACATTTCTGTGTCAGCCAAGCACTCTGGCAGGACGGCCCCGAGATAAAGGCGGATGTGAAATGTTCTTCATAAAGTTTTACCTTGAGGAAAACGTGTTATAAAATTGGATTAAGGCAAGCCAGAGGCCGGCAATGAGATTAAAAATTCAAGGCTGGGGAGATGCTTCAGCCAGTAACCGGCCATGCAAATAGGAGATCTGATACCCCGAACCCCAAAACTGAGTGTGTTGACCTTTAACCCCCTGGGGGAAGACTATCTAATTAGTTTCATGGAATAAATGAGCCTCGGGTCCATTTCTCAGAGAATAAAGGTGGGTAGTCACCAAAGGAAGACAGCCGATGTCAGCCTCCGGCAGCATGGGCATGTGCTCAGCTATGCACACATCTACACTTACAAATATATATAACACATTTTTGAAAAATGAAACACATTGTGCCTTCAACTACCCTGGGCGTTGGGAGGCTTATTGTGGACTTTGGGAGTCTTAATCTTTGCACTCCAAGGAAACTTTTTAAGCAGTGAGAATCCAACCCACAGGGGGTTAGAGTTATTGCTAAAATCAGTTGCTATCCCACCTCAGTTCATTTAATCCTTGGCCCAAGGAGTGATATAGCTTAGGCCAGGCGAAAAGAAAAGTCCCCCTGAGGTCAGTCGACAAGACAGAGACTTCCCAGAGCTGACTGCTGTGTTCAAGATCACAGCCGCAGCAAGTGGAAGAAGTCTAGCATTGTAGGTGTGAGAGTCCACCACTCCCACCCTCTCCCCGCAAGCAAGCGATAGGGATGAAAACCTAGTGTTACAGACCGGCAAAGAGACCCCGGGAGGCACAGCCGTAGTTGACTCTTGAGAGTTTTATCTCCAGCCATTTTCCCCTTCAGCTCCTGAATTGCTGTTACTTGCAAGTTTCTTGACACCAGTTAGGCCACGCCACTAAACTGGACCCTCAGCCCTGCGTACCAAGGTCAGTGTGACTTAAGGTGGGCAGAAGTAACAAGGAGAGGCGCCACTTTTCCAACTTTGGACTCTGTGGCTTGTGTGCTCACATAAAGTCTCCACATACACAGTATCGTCACTTCCCACCTTTTTTCTGAGACAGTTCTCCACACGGAGTTAGCCAGGGTCAGTGAAGGAAGGACTGAGATGTGTCGAGGTGGGAGAAAGATTTGCCTGAACCAGAAGCATCTCGCAGGATGACCTTAGCAGGTGTTCTTCCTGTCTGAAAGGGTGAGCTTGCTATGGGGAATCTCCAACTCCATCAGCCACCACCCAGTCTGCAGCTGCTTTCAGAGCGGTTCTCATCATCACCAACTCTTTTTGTTTCTTTCTTTTTAACCCGAGGGTTTCTCATTCAAACACTGGTGGAGGGTTGCAAAGGAGAAAGATTCTTGAGAAAAGGCTGCCCACTTAGGAAGTGCTGGTCAGCCCTGTCAGATTCCAGAGCCAGCCGAGATACGAGTAAGCGATTGAGTACTACTACTACTACTACTACTACTACTACTACTACTACTAATAATAATAATAATAATAATAATAATAATAAAATTCAGAGTGGTCACTTCAGCTGTGTGTAAAGATGGACAACTGCCTTACTTTCTGGTTGGGTTAGATCTTCCGATGGCTCACAAGAGACAAAACTTCCACTGTGGACACAAAACCTGAGAATGTCTGCAAGCTTCGGAAGTGCTCTACCACTGAGCCACATCTCCATCCCTTGCCACATTCCTCAACGGCCTTGTTTGAGGAGAGTGCTTTGTGGCCAGGCCTCGTGGTAAGTGGGGGGTGGGGGGGCTCCCTCCCGCCAACTCTTGTAGCTGCCTCCCCTTGCTTTCTTTCCAGACTTGAGCCTAACTCGCCCTGTGTTTCTTCTCGTGACCGTGCCGGAAACACACCCTTTACCTCCTTTATTATTTATACCTTGGGGTCGACAGTCTGCTACAGGAAACCCTGTCACTGAAATTTTAGTTGATAATGGAGCTGTTATTGCCTGACTAAGTACCATTCATTCCTAATAAAGAGATTAGAAGGTCTGGATATGTGTGTGCTGTTACTGTTAGAGGCATAAGAACTTTTATTTTATTTTTTTTAAGTCCAAGAATAGTAGAGGAGATAGATGTCTTCAAAGAAAATTGCTTCAAACCAACTGGGATCTTTAAACGCTACAAAATCCCTCTTCAGTCCTGTCATTTTTTTTTTTTTTTTTTTTTTTTTTTTTTTTTTTTTTTTTTTGCACAGCAGCGTTGTGAAGGCACCATTAAAGGAAGTAAAAAAAAAAAAGTGAAATTCATGTGTAACTCTAGGAATCACAGAGTGGAGAAAGAAGGATCAAGGGGAGGGCTTCTAGTTCTGTGCGTCTGCATTTTATCTGGTCTCTTCAGTGTTTGGCTGTTGACTGTGTATTCACTCAAGACGTGAAAGGTATGACATGAGTCAGCAGGTAAAGGCACTTGCCAAGACTGAGGGCCTGAGTTTGATCCCCAGAACCCACATGGTGGGAGGAAAGAACTGACTCCTACAGGTTGTCTTCTGACCTCCACATACATATGCAATGTGGCATGTGTAGCTACACACACACACACACACACACACACACACACACACACACACACACACAGATCATCATCATGGTAATAATTATAATGTTTTTAAAAAGATGTGAGATTCCTACAGCCGTAATCCCAAATTTCTCTGACTTATGCAGGTAGTCTTTCGACAAAGCCTAGCTTGACCCTCAGGAAGGAAAAGTTCCTGGGGCCTTAGTGATGTCTGCAGTCCCTGCCCTGTCCCGTCACCCGACACTCAGTGTGACTGCTCTTACCCTCCCTCATACCCACACTGGGACTCCCTGTGGGAGGACCTCATTTGAAGCCAGGCTGATGAAACAACAAAGTCAAAGTAGCATTTCTAGCTCAGGTAGAGACACTTGGCAGGTTAGCACAGGCTTTGACCATCCTTGCATGAGTATAGTTAGACTGGCCCAAGAGGCTGGAAATTAACCTACATGTATGTGTAAGTGGATTTTTGCTTGTCTAGAAGTCTCTGTATGATGATCTCTCTCTCTCCCTCTCTCTCTTTCACACACACACACACACACACACACACACACACACACACACACCTTTAATCTGTTCACTTATACAACATGTATTTATTATCCCTTATTATATGCTAGATGGTGTGCAAAATATTGGCTATTGCAACATGAAAGACAGGCATCCTCCTATTAGGCAATTCAGAGTTCAGTCAGCAATTCAGAAACTTCCATGAATAACAATTAGGCATCTCAGATGCTGGTAAGGAAGGAAATGATAAGCCTGGTAACCACTGTGTTTACTTTCCCTCAGCATCTTTTAAAAAATGTATTCGTCTATTAGTTCTCTTCTTGTCATCCATCTCTGCCTTCTCTGTCTGTGGTTGAATTTCTTTCATTTTAAATCTTTCATTACACAGATGCCAACTGGCTGTTAGGATGCTAAATTTAGTCCGACTGTTCTGTTCTTTCCAACGTCTTAGGAGTATGCCTTAAGAGCCTGCCTCTGGCCTTAAGGGACAAGTAAGAGCGTTTGCAGTTGGTTTCCAGCCCACGTTAAATGTGGATATGTATTTGAAAGGGTGCTTCTTGGCTACACTTGGTGTTCTTGGTTCTGTGGAAAGAACTACAGACAGTGTCTACTACCAATAGTACTGAGCTCAAGAGAGAGTGGGGGAAGGGAAAGGGAGAGAGACAGGGAGGGAGAAAATGGATGAATGGATGGATAGATAGATAGATAGATAGATAGATAGATAGATAGATAGATAGATAGATAGATAGATGACAGACAGAGCTATCAGTCTGGGTTATGTGCCAGTGGCCCCTTAGCTCTGTACCACCCCAGCCTTTCAGCTAGGTGCCTCCTACCTTGCCCCATCCTGTGCTCCCCGCCCTCCTGGTTAAGAGGGCTGGAAAGACCAGGGCTTCCTCCCAGTTCCTGAAATAGACACAGTATGGACACCTTCACTCACACACTGCTGGCTGGGTGTGAGGAAAACACAAAGACACCCCCACTTTCCAGGGGCACATAGTTAGGGGTGCAGGCTGTTTCTTACAGTGTGTAAATTTGCGAAGGATGGGCTGGGTGGAGAGGAGCCCTCACCCCCACCTCCAAAGAGGAAGGAGCAGCAGACCCTGGAGGATGTGGCTCCCTGGTGCTGCTTTACCCATCTCTTGCGCCATACTTCAGAGGCAGTCTCACTGCAGGGCTTGCTGGGAGAGTGGGAGATGTTTGTGTCCAGCCCAGCACACAGGCTCATAAATGCTCCAGTCCTGATCACTATCAAATAGGAGTGACCACTGTTCCCTGGAGGGCCTTCTGGGAGAGCAACAGGCAGAAACATACTTTGACCTTGTATCACTCATCCCCTTGAGGACCCAGAGAGAGTGGATGATAAGTCACATGGCTTTTCACTGTAATGCTCCTAAGACTCATTTATGTTAGCCCTGAGAACAACTTCTGGGAAAATAAATGTTTGAAATGTAACAATAGAATTATTTAAGTGGCACTACCAGCAATGCAGATATGGGGATGATGGTGGTGGTGGAACTCTGGAAGAAGCCTGCCCTGCGTAATCAGGCCTCCCATCCTCTGCTCAGCTTTTTGTGAGTTCTTTGGGAATCACATGCAGTGTATTTTGAGTCCCTTC